CACGCAGTGCGCCTAAGTGCGAAAAGACAGTGCAAGCTTTGTTATGCCGAAACCTAAATGTTAAGTCAGCAACACTTCCAAATGCCACTTCTTCCCGTCGCATCCGTCTTCAGGACGATCTAGTCACAGGTTTTCACTTCTCAGTGAGTGAAAGATTTGTCCCCGGGTCTACGTTGAAAGCTTCTATAGTAGAACTCATTCGGGAGGGCTTGGTGGTCTTAAGAATGGTTCGGGTGGGGGCTGAATAAAGAAGACGAATAGAATAGAATTCATGTTCATGCTAAGAGAAGAGCGGATCCAATACCAAGACGACTTCTTTCCCAAGAAGTGCAGCAAGTACTTTAGGAATTTGGGGATTTCATGCCCCACGAGTGAGTTGCCAAGTGCCCCCTAGGAGGGCCAGTCTACCACAAGATCAAGTTGGAGCCTGGAGCCAAAGCCCCTTAACTTACTTAGAGTGGGGCTGGGTTTAGCAGATGGCCCCCCCAACTAGCATCTATTAGTTAAGGGGCTTGGTTGAACTCAGGAAAGAATTGAAGGAAGTCATTTTTTCCTATTTATATTCCAGCCTCCAAGGCTCTTTTTCCCTATCTTGCTGGGGAAAAGGTTGGGGAGCCCTTGTTTTATTCCAGAAAGGGAGCCTTGGGCATTGATTATCGGGCGCTCAACAAGGTAACCTAACCATCAAGAACAAGTATCCACTTTGATTGCAGACGCATATCCTTTCCCGTTCGCGTCTTTTGTCTAAACTGGAATCTGTGGTGAAAGATCAAAAGATTTTCAGGTATCATCCTTTCTTCACTCGCCCATTATAGACAAGACTGGGAAAGATTGGTCGTCTAAGGAAGGAATACCAACTATTGATTTTAGAGCTCCCGTCTTATTCAATTTTTTTTAGATGAATTTTACCAAGCTTTCGAAGAACAGTTTATAAAAATGCCACACGCTCGTTATGATTATGAAATTAGCGTTCCTCTTGGGATTGTAAAATGGAAGGAATTTCATGTACCCAAATGGGAGGAGTTCTTGAATGGACTAGGTCTTGTTGGAAAGGTTATGTGTTTAGTCCCAGGGGGCGACCCAGTTACTTGTATTGGGGCTTTCATATCTGTGGACGATAATGGCTTTATTCAGATTATTGAAACCGGTTCTTTGGAATAGTTGTTTTTGATAAGGGCTTAGTTACATTTTTTGTTCAAATATGCATATCTTTATACCTACTTTTCGACCCAAGACCTTACCTTAATCACCGGAAAACCCCTTTTTTTATTTCAAGCTCAGTGGTAGAGCGGTCGGCTGGTAACTGACTAGTCGGGCGTAGGTTCGAATCCTACTTGAAAAGCTTCCCTGGACTTTTTTGACTCTCTGCTTACTCCAGCCGTAAGTAAACTCGTAGAATGGGATGTCATCCACTGACTCCTAATTGCGAGAAGAGAATTTCCCTCCTAAGTCATCGAAAAAGAGGAGGCCTAGCTATGATATGAAAAGGCTCCACGGATGACTGGGGCTTAGGGCAAAAGAAAAGGAAGATCGTCTTGACTCTCTTAACTATGGTAAAATAGTTAGAATGTAAACGAAACACATGCTTCACTCTCGCTTTCAGTATTTTGACAAGAGGGGATCCGCCGAGTTGATTGAGTTGTCCTCTCAAAAGAAGAGACTGGCTAGAGATCTCTTTATCAAAATCTTTGGAACAAATGGTTGCCCTTGAAAATGGGTGTTTTTTTGTGGAAACTAAGACTAATTAAGAATGCCATTGCTGTTGATAGCAGTTTTCCCAGGTTTGGAATGAATTTTGCCTCCAAATGTGTTTGCTGTTCCTCTCCTTGCATAGAAAGAGTGGATCACCTCTCTCAAAGTGATATTCCTAGGATAATAGGGTCTCATTTCTCTCCCAGTCTCAATGTGGATTTCTTTTATAAAGCTCCTCTCTTCACCATCTTTTGGCTTCCTGGTTTAATGGTGCCAAATCAAAATCACAGTGTGGCTTTCTTAGGATCATGCTAGTGAGTTGTGCTTGCTGGGAAAGGACATTTTTCTTTATCGAAATTATCTCATGTCTTTAGGGGGGACAACAAAGCTGCAGATTGTTTGGCTGCTTATGGTCATACTCATTCAGACTCCATTTTATTTAATAGCTTAGGGTCTCTTCCTTTTGATTCTAAAAAGCCTGTTCATAGCCAAGGCATGTTCTTTTTTAGAGCTCCCTAGCTTGTTTTGATGTTCAGGGGTAAGGCCTTTATGTCCCCCCCTTGTCTTTTCTTTTTTTGCAATAAATAGCGAAAGCGAGACGATAGTTCTCTGTCGGGTGAGAGAAGAGATAGAGCACGGTATTCTCACGGGCCGAAGTGCAAAGCCCGGTAGCCTATCCGTAGTTCGGAAGGAAGCCCCCTATGGTCCAAATCAAGTTGCTACTTTCCCTCTGCGCTTATAAGTAGATAAGGTCAGACTTTGCTTGCTCTGAGACATCTTGAAAAGGGAAATCCAATATCAAAATGGAAATGTTTGAAATTGCTCCTTGACCCAAGAAAGGAACAAACGGGATTCGGAGCTTGCTGACCCTTATACACAGATGGGGGTATAGAGAAAATGGTTATTCCTACATCACAACCTAAAAATCTTGACCCAATCATTGCGGGTATCCTTGAGGAGGGCCGGAAGTACCTTCCTACAAACAGAGTGGAGTGGTAAAGGCGAATGAGCCGGTTTACCCAATTAGGAACAAAAGCATGAAATTGCTTGATGGTTCTTGGTTTACGAGAATTGATTATGCTGATGGTCTATCTACAATCATCCCCTATGCCCCAATTCGATCTGATTCAGGGCAGGAGCAGGCCGTGTATTATCTCAGCAGGGTCTTCCCTAAGAAGAATTATTCGCCGATCGAGAAGATGTGCTTATCGCTCTACTTTGCAGCAACCAAGCTCCGACACTACTTCCTTTCCACAACAGTGTTGGTAATTGCTCGAACGGACCTGATTAAGTATATGCTGACCAGACCCGTGTTGAAGGGGAGAATTGGGAAGTGGATCCTAGGGCTATCCGAGTTCACTTTTCGGTACGTTCCTATGAAGGCGGTCAAAGGACAGGCATTTGCAGACTTCTTGGCAGATCATGCCATGAATGTTTTCGAACCAGTGGAGCTCGATGAAGAAGTCCTCGCCTTTGCAGAGGTGGACTCTCTACTTCGATGGATCTAGCACTTTGGGGGCTGCAGGGGCCGGAGTGGTATTAATATCACCTTCAGGCCAGGCCCCACAAGCTGCTAAAAGATTGAAGTTTCAAACCTGGCGGTATCACCGTTTAGGAAAAACTGCTTTCGTGCGGTCTCTTTCTTTTTCGGATGAAGGTGAGTGGCAAAGTCTGGTTCAACTAAGGAGTAGGTCGTCCTATCTGATAGAGCGGGTAATGCTCAAATTATTTTTTTCGTATTTGGGGTTGACGCCGAGAAAGACTAAAGACGGGAGAGCACGCACAGACATCCTCGGGAAAGCACTAATGAACTACGCCATCCCTGACACTTATGCGGTGAGATACCAACCATCCGATATCGCCCACAAAGCTAAGAGGCCACTGGCACCGAATAATACCCATAAAGAACGCTAACCGCCACCGGCATCTGATGCCATCCGATAAGGGAGAACTCTTTCGGCAAAGAATTTGACCAAAAAGCCCGATTCGAATCATTATGCTCGATAAAAGGAAAAAGGGAAGCTCAAATAGAAAACAGCACTACTGCTAGTAAGATAGCGATCCAGGCAAGCGCCAAAGAAAGAAGGGGGCACAAGCAAGCGCAAGAATCAAAGCAGGGCAGGATCGAAGAGCTTAGACAGCAAGCAAGCGAGAAGGAATCCCTCAAAGGCACTGAGGCAAGGTCTTTCCGATGCGCGCTAAGACAACCACTCATGTCTACTTCTAATGCGCACGAACCAGAGCTCTCTCCCGGGAACCCCTTCCCTAGTAAAGAGGTACTGACCATCGGTTCTATCGTGCCCCAGTTAACGAGAGCCTCGGATAGACTAAGGATCTTAGGTGAGACCTAGAGTGCAGCCAACTAAACGCCAAAGAAATCGGAAGAAAACTTCCACATCTGAGATTCCATGTGTGACTAACTCAATTGAGAAATGCCCCTCTTGTACGCTAACGTTCTAGGATGGCAGGGTTGGTAAAACTCTCCTTGATAAATAGAGTATGGAGAGCTCGGGTGGGGCATCAACCACTGGTTGCGGGCCTGTCGAGATGCTTCCTTGCAGAACCCGGCTGTAACTCAATAGAGTGAGTAGGAAACCTTGTAAAGGCGAGCAGGAGAATATAGATCGGTCTGTCTTGTCTTAGACTAGCCCTACTCCATCTTGGCTATCTTGAGCTTATTCATAAGCTTTTCATTTTCTGCTTACTACTAGGGCTTCCAAATTACTACGCCGGGTCTCATAGCCCCTGTGACCTTCACTTCACAGCCTGATTAATGAACTTGAAAAGCGCACTTCTATAAACAACTTCCAGAGAGAAGCGAACGAGGTCTTCGTCCACCGCGACCATCCTCCAGGAGTGCGAGACAACCGGACCGCTAAACAGTTCCTCGAGGGTAACCCAAGGGGAAAGTGCGGTAAGGTGATACCATTTAAGGTAGTTTAACCACTGGCGCATCCATCCATAAAGGAGAGAGTACTCCAGGAAATATCTAGATTCCTCAGTCTCGAACAGCTCATCGGGGGGCAATATCAGCTCCCGGGGCTTAAGTTTGGCTCGAAGGAGTCTCACCAAACGCCCATGAGCTTCTGGACTGAGTGGTCGTCCCTTACCCAACCAGAAATCAAGCGGGTAAGAAGGAGAGAGCAATTTTAGCCCCATAACCACAAGATGGGAATACCGCCTCGGGCGCCTATGGTCTAGCCTTGCAAGAACACGATATCCAGCTCCACCCAGCCTACAAAGCAAACGGAAATCACGCACCGAATAACGGTGAGCAACAGCCATCAACCCGTAGGGGTGGAAAGTGTTTAATAACGCTTTTTAATGGATACCGGGGGGAGATCGACTGTCAAATCTCGAACCCTAAAGTTATTCGCGAATTCCGCGGACCCACTCCTTGATATTAGTGATTTCTCTTTCGAAATAACCACCTGCAGGAGGTCAAGGGACTCCTTGTAACGGGTCGCGACATTCTCATCCGCGATTACTACGTCATCCCCGGGGACGGCGTAGTTGGTAAACACCCTTCCCGGGTACACAAGTTCTGCACACCACCAAATAATTAGGTGGTGGGACAACGCGAAAAGAGGCCATGCGCCAAGATAGCCCAACGGGTACCCACTCAGAAATCTGACAGTAGAGCCCGGGGTCGTCACCCACGGGGCATCAAATTCACCACCAGATAAGATAACAGGAAACTAACCGCTTCGGATAAATCCTGGTCGAATAACTTGGATACAACCCTCTCAAGAAACACGATCGGCCACCTATCGGTGGCAGACCGCGGATCAAAAGAGAAGCAGACCCGCGAACCAACAAGCAAGTCGAGAGGCTTTGTTTGATTAAATGTACCGCCCATAGGTATACTACGCAGAGTATCTGCTGAAGAAGAAGGCTAGCTATACAGGGGAATCTCTCTATATATGAAAAATCAATGTACATCGACCCTTTCCTTACCCCGACGGTCTACCTTTCTTAAGGCCCTCAAACTACTTTATAAAGAGCATATGAAAGCCGGGGACTCTCGGTTGATCTTCTTCCGACTTATCCTTTGAAGTCTAGTTCTGTTCTTTCTCAAGAACTCACTCCAGCATCTGAAAAATCTAACTGAACAGTCTTCGCTACTTCGTGCCGCAACTTGGAAGTCTAGCTACCTATCCGTCTCCACCTCTGGCAATAGATCTATCCCACTCTGTCCAAGCAGTCGAGTTTCGCTTCTTTCCTGTAAGTCAGTCGATCTTGATTTGTTCTCCTCTCCCTTTCGGTAGAGATCTTAACTCTATGATTCGATTCTTTATTCTATTCTCGAATTTAGCTTTATCAAATAACTGAGGATTCGAACTGAATAAGAGAGAGCGAAAGACTTCCCGCGTAAGAGCTCTTCAAACCTTGTCCTATCGAAGCTGCGCTGATACTCCTGGAAGTGTAAATGGTTTGAAAGAAGAATCATATATGAGAGAGAAAAGATTTGGCCAAAAGGATAGCCAAGAAAGATGCCTGCTTTGGCACGGGGATCCTCTGTTTTCTTTATGCCTAGTGGGCTTGTGATTGTGGGAAAAGCAAAGGCAGCCACAGGGGATAAGAATAAGTGGGCTTAGTATAAAACTTCTGGAGAAGACTTTTCCAGAGAGCATGGGTGTAGGCATTTTTTTGATTCAATAGGAAGTTGTGAGAATGCATTTTCCCCCAAAAAAGAAAGGGATAAAGGTGCGAAGCGGATTGCTTCATTTTTTTTCATGAAGCATGAATATAGTTAATAAAAAAAGATGAGACAGAGTCCACAAGGACAGCTTTCTTTATATTAGATGCCAGCCTTATAGAAGATGCGACTAGCGCATTGTACTGGCCGTAGGGGACTCAAGCCTTCGTCGATTGAGAGGAGCCCCTCGCCTCACTCGGAAACTCTTATCACGACCTCTCTCATGTATAAGGGGAAGGCTCACCGAGATGATCAAAGGCTGCCCAGAGACAGGGGCGGAGACTAGACTAGCTTTCCAGGATAAAGAATGCAACCAAGATAGGGATGAATGACTCTACTGACAAGTTACGGGATACGAGCGTCATCCCCACCCCTGCTTATACAGAACCAGCTCAATTACATAGACCCTGTAGCGAGTTGGTTAGGAGGAAAGGAAGCCAGTGACTCCCCGTCTTTCTTATTTAAAGAGAGTGAAATGAGCCAGTAGCTCTGGGAAAGAAGGAAGAGAAAGGGAAGGAATCACTATAGTTACTCAAAAAAAAGGTTCGGAATCGAATCCGCTCAAGCTGTGAACAAAGAAGAAGCTCTTGCCACTGTCGGTCTAAGCGCAGTTGGAGGAAGGGGAGATGGGATGAGTGAGGTGGGCCCCTTCACACTTTCGTTTTCTGGAATGAAAAGAATGGATACGACAGTGGTGCGCGTAGGAACCACAGGGATGCACTTCATGGACAAACTTGGGCTGAAGATGGCATTTTTGATCGCCTAGCCATTCGTGCGTGCAGGCAGGTATGCTATTTGGTCAATCCGGGATGATGAGATAGGGCGAGAGTGGGTCTGGTTGCGATCTTCTGAATGCTGAGGAGAGCAAAGAATGGATCGCATTCACTTTTAAGTCCCTCCCCAAACTCATTTTACGAGGAATAACCAAGTGCGATAAAGAGCAAGCGAAAACCAACCCTTGCCTTTATCTTAACAGAGATTACCTTTAATAATGATCTAATTGCTTGACGAAAGTATAGGAGTCGGAAGTTAACCAACTGACTACCCTTCCTTCTCTTCTGAGATAGGGAAAAGGAACTGAAAGAGGTCTCTCTTGCCCCTTCAAGTTTACCTACTACGGTACCGGAGTGAATATGATCTCCACCAGACATACGTAACGCTTTAGCTAGTACACGCAAGTAAAGTGTATACCATGATTCTTCTGTCTATCAATAATTGCATGCATTGCGCGGTGGATGTGAAGAAGTAGGCCATTATCTCGGCAATAATGAGACAAGCAGATGCAACGTTGACTTTTTTACTTTTTCTCTAATACCTCTTGGGGGCTTTCCCAGCCTGCGGTGGTGGGGCTTTTGGATCCCAGGCATGTGATGATCCACCTTTCCTCTCATGAGGATATGGTTAAGGCCTGGACTAGGGAATCTCATATTATTGACAGCTCCTTGTTTAGGTTATTTCGTTGGTCGCCTGATTTTCATCCTAGATATGAATCCTCTCTCTCTGCTGTTTGGATTCGGCTTCCCTACCTTCCCTTGCCATTTTTGAGTCCTGCATACCTTAAAGGTCTTGTGGGAACCTTTGGACGATTCCTTCGTGCAGATGAGCGCACTCTTGCCTTGGCTCATCCCATGTTTGCTCGTGTATGTGTTGAGATGGATGTCTCTCAGCCTTTGCCTTCTAGGGTTTGGGTTGGTCCATCCAAAGAAGAATGAATTCTCCCTGTCGCGAAAAGAATATCGAATGACTAGGGACTCCATACCTTACCAAAGTTAGCATTCACTTGCTTCGCCGCTTCGCGCCTCATCTGCACTTAAGGAGTCGGGGATGGACCGACTGTCTGTCTTTCTCCATATCTTTACTATGAATAACCTCTTGTCCCTCTTCGTCTTGCCAAAGGGGGTGAAAATCGGGCCTACTATGGCAAAGAGATTGGGCTATGATTTCGTCTTGTGTAGTTCACTTTCCATTGAGCAATAAGCCTCAGTTTGTCTTGTCCAGTCGTTTAGAGTCCTTTCACGCTATTCCTCGCGTGTCGAATATTCCAGCAGGTGACAGAAAGAATAAGAATGCTAATTGAAGAGCTTAGGCGCGAAGGTAGTCTCATAATAGATAAAAGGGCTAAAAGGCGAACGAACTGAAGGCCCTGCGATAGACATCATGCTTAGGATTCTCTTTCAGCTGCTTTTTATTAACTTAGGGCGTTAGCTGGCAATAGCCATCGGTGCGAGGTCAAAGGCAGGGATAGGCGAGGAAATAGGAAACTTCATCCTTTACAAAGACTTTAAAGTTTAGGGCAGTCCAAACTATGCTTTAAGACCATGTCATAGGGACGGTCTTTCAAATGAGAGCCGGTAACTCAGATTCGATAGAAAGACACTGACTCTAAACTTCAATGAATCAACCGAAGGTTGCTGGTTATAGCCCTGCTGTGACTGTCTTACTTGCCATCTATCCGCTCTGGTTCTTATCAAACTATTCCTTACTACTTATGCAATTGTATCAGTCTCTTTTGTCTTAAGAAGCCCTAACTACGGACTAATGGGCAAAGGAGGTAAAAGAAAGCCCGACACTGCTCACTGACCTCGTAAACTTTCTTGGAGTCATAGTGGCAAGGGTCGTGAACTCTACTAAGTCTGTTGAGAAGTTAGGTTCAAATCCAGGATAGGTATGGAATCTTAGTCAGTTGATAGGCAATATGGAAAGAAATCAGACTATTTGCTATATTCTAAAAAAAGTGTAAGCGCTTATCAGCATCACTGGTTTTATTAATTCACCAAGTACTTTAGCTGCTAGGCGATACGCAGTTCCTAATTATCCAGTATCTCCAGGAAGCTTGAGACTAAATATTCGTTGTGTAGCGACAAATAGAGACCAAAGTACTTTGTCAGTGATTCTAACTTTCATTCAGTCTGATTATGCGACACCGGTCTTTGAAGTTGAACATGCCCCTTCATATATATAGTTTCGAGGTCAATTCCTCTTTCTAACTTCTTTTCTACCGGTTGAGACAAAGTCACGTACGACGAAGAAAAAATAAGCCTCAGTCTTATCTCGAAAGACTCCATTACCGGGACTACTAAAACGATATTTAACTCGAAGACGGCGGCAGTCGCAACAAAGCGAAGCCTTCTTTTTCATTGTCTTACTTTACACGCAGAGCAGGAGCGGATCTCCAGCCCCATCTGCATAGGAGTTATTTGGGTAGAAGAACCCATCGCAAATAGTTCTCTTAGTATCGGAGTCTTCTTTTGACAGCTTGTAGATGTGCTTGTCGAGGAGCATGCATAAACTGAAAGACTTGATTCACAGCAAACGTCATGTCGGGCCGGGTCAACGTGAAAGACTTTAGGCCTCCCACCATACTTGTATAGTTCCTTGGATCAAGTCTTTTCTTTGAGTAAAGCCAAAGCCTTTAGCGACTAGCCTGACCTTTTCCTCCTAAGAGGAATCACGACCACCACATTCCCTTAAAACCTGGTAGTGAGCCTGTGAGTGTAAGGCCCTACAGATACCCCCACATCCAAAAGAGATAGAAAAACAGGTCAAGGAGATGCTGTTAAGTGGTATTATCAGGGCAAGTGTGAGTTCTTATGCCTCTCCAGTGTTGCTGGTGAAAAAAAGGGACAATACCTGGAGATTTTGCGTGGATTATCGAGCACTCAATGCCATCACCATTAAAGATAAATTCCCCATCCTGAGGAATTGCTTGATGAATTACATGGTAGCAGGAGATTTTCGAAGCTTGATTTGAGAAGTGGTTACCATCAGATTCGGGTGTTTGAAGATGATATACACAAGACTGCATTTCGAACTCACCAGGGCCATTACGAGTTAATATGCCCTTTGGTTTCACTAATGCTCCAGCCTCATTTCAGGCTTTAATGAATGAGGTTTTCATGGATTATATGAGGAAATTTTTACTGGTTTTTTTCGATGACATCTTGATTTACAGTGACAGCCTAGATAGCCACTTGCAACACTTGAGGATAGTGTTTTAAACTTTAAAACAACACAAGTTGTTTGTGAAGAAATCGAAATGCTCTTTCGGTCAGGCAAGGTTAGAGTATTTCGGGCATGTGGTGAGCAGTGAAGGGGTATCAGCAGATAAAAGCAAGATTGACAGCATGTTGAGCTGGCCACAACCCACTACTGTCAAGGGG